TAAATTTATAGAAATTAATTTGTGAGCATAAATGTGAATGGGCTGACCATATGTTCATACCTGGGTTACCCGTTTGGACAGCCCGGTCAGTGCGGCTATGCGTTCGAGGTCTTGGCCGTCGGGGTTGGAGTCCAACTGGAAGTTCGCCTGAAGTACAGACAGCTGTTCCTCCGTGAAGGTCGTGCGGACACGCTTTGTCTTAGAGCCACACTTCCCGCCCCCTCCACCCCCTCCCCCACCGGCACCCGAGTTGGACTCATCGCCGCTACAAACGGAAGCGTCCTGTGAGTCGCCTGTAATCACACAAATACCCGTCCCTTCAGTAATTGGCATCAAATATGCATTAAGAGTGTATTTTTATATTAATCAAAATGTGTTTTAATATAATGTAGTGTTTATATTATGCAGAATATTCTCACTTTGACTTTGAGATTATAATAAATTATTTCAATACTAAAATTAATATTAAAAATTCAAACTTAGGGTAAAAAGTCACAAACTATTCAAATAATCCAAATATCTAGTATTGATAATACACTTAGATCATATTGATTCTAGAATTTGTTTCTCATTTCAGGATATTTTCGAGTTTTATAGTATTTTATAGTATAGTATAGAATATTCTGGTAGTACTTACCGTCGGAAGTGATGCCAAAATGTAATTTACATAACAGTTTGCTTTCATTTGTCTGGTTATCAATCGTGAACTGTTCGCCAGTACTTAACTGTCTCTGACATAAATCACACGCAAAACACGCCAAATGGTAGACAAAAGGCCCGGCTCTTCGCACCTTATGAAATCATCAAGTAATTATCCAGTTAATTTAACTATTCATTAACCATTTAAGCACAATCATAAATTGATTGATAAATATTTTATTTAACATCTTAATAATCACAATCATTATTTTTAGACCTAAATATTCTTAAACTAAACTTTTTATTTTATTGAAATATAACGAGATGTTTGTACCCAATCTGATGCTGATATTTGTCGGTAACATTTGGAGCATTTGATCAATTGGTTGATGAGTTTCAAGTAATCGCTTTTGCAGTAAATGCGACCGTTTTTTAGGTAACACGACCGACAATGACTTAGTGATTGGTCACACTCTGAGCACCTGGAGGTTTCACGAGAACAGACATGCAATTAATTAAATATATTTGTAGTTTAGTTAAATTATAGGTATATAGTTTAAGAATTAAGGGAATAAACTACGAAACATAAATAATTTTACAGTATATTACATAGGTATTATTAGAATAAAGCTTATATCAAGAATATTCTATAAATTATTTAAGCCTTAATTAAAAATATTATAAATACTAAACACATGTATATAGAAATAACAATAAAAGCTTTCATTTTAAATACAAATAGTATTTCAAGAATTGTATACAAAAAAGGGAAATACATCCAAACTTAAGGCCAAACCTGAGACAATTGATGTGCCATTGATGGTGACCGGACACGGATGCGATAACTGGTGCGGTGGCCAGGGATGAGCGACAGCCGTAGCATATCTGTAACATACCGGAAGGCCGGCATACGATTAATAGGCTCATTATGGATCAGCACTGGTATGTCATATGAACACTAGTAGTAAAAGTGGTTCTAAAAGTTAATATCGCTTATAGAGTATATCTCTAACCATAAGGCGATTGTCTATTGAGTGAGAAAATAAGTCTTAAGTCGAGTTCGAGTTAAGCACTGGTAATACAAAAAACTACCAGTGCTTTATTGTCTGTGTGTATGTCTTATGTCGAGTGGGAAATCATGCCTTTTAGGTGGTGGTGGTTGTCGTCAATACGTGTGAAGTGTCAGAAGAGAGAGAGAGAGAGAGAGAGAGAGAGAGCACAGACACCGAGTCTGGACTTTGACAATACAATAGATGTTAACATTGCCTACAATTCCATTGTGTACTCCAATAGGCTTTGCATTGTATGTAAACGACAGACTGTTAACGTGATTATAGGGTGAGACCTGAGACTGACCAGTGATCAGTTATCAGGGTTAGTTTGATATATTACTGTAATATGAGGTATGGATGTAAGTGATATACTAAAAAAGTAATAAAATCTTCTTTATATTTTCTACTGCACAAGATATGAGAATTTTAGTGTATTTTACAAAAATAATTAATAATTCATGAATTTGAAGATTTTTAAACAGTTTTATTAATTATATACTGTATTTAAATCAATTAAATTTATGTATAAGTGTTTTTAAAATGTTATAATGAAGTGTATGTTAAATGTAAATTCACACGATAGTAGATATTGTAACTATAATTACAAGAATCTGAATGTAAGCTTCTTAATAAAAGTTTTGTTATTATTGTAATAATTGTGTTAAAATATGTCCAGAATATCGACATAACAATGTATTTGACACCAAATACAGTCACAAAAAACTGACAATAAGTGAAGTGTTAGTCAAAAGTTGTGTCAATTGTACGGAGAGTTTGATATTATATTCAAATGGTTTTCATATGCTTTTCATAAACTTATCACTCGATCGGTGACTCGAAAAAA